TTTACCATAAAAAGTAGCAGGTCAGCATGCATGTAAAGATGACGTGTACCTTAATGCTGGTCACTTTACACAAATAGACATCTGTAAATACTGCTGGTCACTTTACACAAATAGACATCTGTAAATACTGCTGGTCACTTTACACAAATAGACATCTGTAAATACTGCTGGTCACTTTACACAAATAGACATCTGTAAATACTGCTGGTCACTTTACACAAATAGACATCTGTAAATACTGCTGGTCACTTTACACAAATAGACATCTGTAAATACTGCTGGTCACTTTACACAAATAGACATCTGTAAATACTGCTGGTCACTTTACACAAATAGACATCTGTAAATACTGCTGGTCACTTTACACAAATAGACATCTGTAAATACTGCTGGTCACTTTACACAAATAGACATCTGTAAATACTGCTGGTCACTTTACACAAATAGACATCTGTAAATACTGCTGGTCACTTTACACAAATAGACATCTGTAAATACTGCTGGTCACTTTACACAAATAGACATCTGTAAATACTGCTGGTCACTTTACACAAATAGACATCTGTAAATACTGCTGGTCACTTTACACAAATAGACATCTGTAAATACTGCTGGTCACTTTACACAAATAGACATCTGTAAATACTGCTGGTCACTTTACACAAATAGACATCTGTAAATACTGCTGGTCACTTTACACAAATAGACATCTGTAAATACTGCTGGTCACTTTACACAAATAGACATCTGTAAATACTGCTGGTCACTTTACACAAATAGACATCTGTAAATACTGCTGGTCACTTTACACAAATAGACATCTGTAAATACTGCTGGTCACTTTACACAAATAGACATCTGTAAATACTGCTGGTCACTTTACACAAATAGACATCTGTAAATACTGCTGGTCACTTTACACAAATAGACATCTGTAAATACTGCTGGTCACTTTACACAAATAGACATCTGTAAATACTGCTGGTCACTTTACACAAATAGACATCTGTAAATACTGCTGGTCACTTTACACAAATAGACATCTGTAAATACTGCTGGTCACTTTACACAAATAGACATCTGTAAATACTGCTGGTCACTTTACACAAATAGACATCTGTAAATACTGCTGGTCACTTTACACAAATAGACATCTGTAAATACTGCTGGTCACTTTACACAAATAGACATCTGTAAATACTGCTGGTCACTTTACACAAATAGACATCTGTAAATACTGCTGGTCACTTTACACAAATAGACATCTGTAAATACTGCTGGTCACTTTACACAAATAGACATCTGTAAATACTGCTGGTCACTTTACACAAATAGACATCTGTAAATACTGCTGGTCACTTTACACAAATAGACATCTGTAAATACTGCTGGTCACTTTACACAAATAGACATCTGTAAATACTGCTGGTCACTTTACACAAATAGACATCTGTAAATACTGCTGGTCACTTTACACAAATAGACATCTGTAAATACTGCTGGTCACTTTACACAAATAGACATCTGTAAATACTGCTGGTCACTTTACACAAATAGACATCTGTAAATACTGCTGGTCACTTTACACAAATAGACATCTGTAAATACTGCTGGTCACTTTACACAAATAGACATCTGTAAATACTGCTGGTCACTTTACACAAATAGACATCTGTAAATACTGCTGGTCACTTTACACAAATAGACATCTGTAAATACTGCTGGTCACTTTACACAAATAGACATCTGTAAATACTGCTGGTCACTTTACACAAATAGACATCTGTAAATACTGCTGGTCACTTTACACAAATAGACATCTGTAAATACTGCTGGTCACTTTACACAAATAGACATCTGTAAATACTGCTGGTCACTTTACACAAATAGACATCTGTAAATACTGCTGGTCACTTTACACAAATAGACATCTGTAAATACTGCTGGTCACTTTACACAAATAGACATCTGTAAATACTGCTGGTCACTTTACACAAATAGACATCTGTAAATACTGCTGGTCACTTTACACAAATAGACATCTGTAAATACTGCTGGTCACTTTACACAAATAGACATCTGTAAATACTGCTGGTCACTTTACACAAATAGACATCTGTAAATACTGCTGGTCACTTTATACAAATAGACATCTGTAAATACTGCTGGTCACTTTACACTCTTTAAATACTGCTGCTATTTACAATTGTACAAAGTTTACTAACTCAGAGTTCAAGTAACATCAAAAAGTGAAAAATAAGTGAATCTGTTTATGTTACATGTATATCATGTTACAAAAAGCTTTATGGGAGAGTTATGCTCCAAATGGGATCAATTAAGCTCAGACTATAGAAATACTTTTATTAATTAACTCATTCACCCCTATAGACACATTTGAACTCTTCCAATTCAAAGCAGAGAATATTGTGAAATTCCTACCTTGGTAGATAGTGGCTTGAATTAACATATGACCAACAGTATGCATTACTACTATGACCTTTGACACGTACATTAATTAATCATTTGTAGTTTTTTTTGTGTCTTAATTAAGATCAAGGATAAGAAGGTGAAATATGACCCTGACTGTGCATGTATGGTTACCATCAGTGGAAGACGGGACATTGTTAATTAATGAGAATAGCTGTAAATAATCCTTTCGGTAACACAATGCTGAAGCATTTTACCTGTTGATTTTGACAAGAAAGGTAACATTCAGCATATCTAGCAACGCCTGTACATATAAGGAAATTAGGATCGGTCTGGAGGTTCTAGCCTGCGTCTTTATTGTTAAGTTGTAGTGCTTGAGGCATATTACATGAACAGATTGTGAAATTTATGCTGATAATTTTTATCCAATGGATGTATGTGGTACTTAGATGAAATTTGTGATACTCAACGCACAATAAGACTATAACCTGGATTTTTGTTCAGCACTTTGTATGTGTGGTTCTGAAGAAGAAGTATTCTCGCATTAATATTTAGAGCCTTGGAATCGAGAGGTAAACAAGCATACAGTTTTTGTTTTCAGGTCTGATCTTTCAAAACTGTTGTTGATTCAGATAAATTTAAGATCATTTTCTACAATAAGAAATGCATGTGGAATATTTCATTAAAGATTGATTCTCACAATAGCGTTAAACTGTTTTGCATAATTATGATGTTGAAACAATATCAGTTTTAAATTACAAAGAGATTTAGAACCCGGATAAATAAAATTCTAACAGGTAATTTTTCAATCAAATTTCTTTAAAACCTACATATACTGTGTTTTAATTTTGTAGAACATTTGTGGGAATCCATCAAACTTCAATGAGAAAAAAAATGCGTTACTGTATTTCTCCTGCAATAAGCCCGGGGGTTTAACACCTTACCTCTGGGTCAAAGTAGGGTTGTTCAACACCTTACCTCTGGGTCAAAGTAGGGGTGTTCAACACCTTACCTCTGGGTCAAAGTAGGGGTGTTCAACACCTGACCTCCGAGTCAAAGTAGGGGGTGTTCAACACCTTACCTCTGAGTCAAAGTAGGGTTGTTCAACACCTTACCTCTGTGTCAAAGTAGGGGTGTTCAACACCTTACCTCCGAGTCAAAGTAGGGGGGGTTCAACACCTTACCTCTGAGTCAAAGTAGGGGAGTTCAACACCTTACCTCTGAGTCAAAGTAGAGGATGTCCAACACCTTACCTCTGAGTCACACTAGGGGGCGTTCAACACCTTACCTCTGAGTCAAAGTAGAGGATGTCCAACCCCTTACCTCTGAGTCACACTAGGGGGTGTTCAACACCTTACCTCTGAGTCAAAGTAGAGGATGTCCAACACCTTACCTCTGAGTCACACTAGGGGGTGTTCAACACCTTACCTCGGAGTCAAAGTAGGGTTGTTCAACACCTTACCTCTTAGTCAAAGTAGGTTGTGTTCAACACCTTACCTCTGAGTCAAAGTATGGGTGTTCGACACCTTAACTCTGAGTCAAAGTAGGGGTGTTCAACACCTTACCTCTGAGTAAAAGTAGGTTGTGTTCAACACCTTACCTCTGAGTCAAAGTAGGGGTGTTCAACACGTTACCTCTGAGTCAAAGTAGGTTGTGTTCAACACCTTACCTCTGAGTCAAAGTAGGGGTGTTCAACACCTTACCTCTGAGTCAAAGTAGGTTGTGTTCAACACCTTACCTCTGAGTCAAAGTAGGGGTGTTCGACACCTTACCTCTGAGTCAAAGTAGGGGTGTTCAACACCTTACCTCTGAGTAAAAGTAGGTTGTGTTCAACACCTTACCTCTGAGTCAAAGTAGGGGTGTTCAATACCTTACCTCTGAGTCACACTAGGGGGTGTTCAACACCTTACCTCTGAGTCAAAGTAGGGGTGGACTTCCTCAAACACAGTTACTTACATTTGTTGACATTAATATGTCTACAGAACTGCATTAGATATAGGTGGGCTTATTTCCAGGCATGGGCTTATTGGCAGATAAATACTGTACAGTGCAAAATGCATGTAATATTGGAATTCCTATAGTGTTTTAAACACAGGAGACAAATGTAGCTAGTTTCTGCATGCTGCTTCTCCATACTGTAGCTGATCATACAAGAAAGCATGTTTTATGACAAGGTTTTAGTCCTGCAGAGATAATAGTTAAAATGTAACATTTAAACTGTGAATATTTCTAATGTTTAATTGTGTCAAAAAATGTTTTTTCTGTTTACCACTGTCCTAGCTCTGCTGTATCCACTTTAATGGTCTGTAAGATTGAGTTCCTGTGAATGTCACTATCTGTTTGTCATTGTCAATATGCTGAATTGTAAAGTAATACATTACTCTAACATAATACAGCTGTAAACATCATGTTTTAATAACCATGTGTAACTTATCACAAAGTCTAACACTTCACAAACCGCTACACTAATCTGTGTTCCTCACTGGTGTTATTACTTTATCATAAAGGTTGGGTTGGAATAAATGATAATATGCACCTCTATGAAGAAATGATTTAGTTTTTTCTTTTTCCAGTTCTATGAGTACCGTGTCTTTCACCGATGACCCAGGTCATGATGACCATTATCGACCACCGGTCAAATATGAAAACTCATACCAAACAGCACCCGACCAGAAGTTCCCTACTGCCAAGATACGCTACATCATCAGTGATGTTCTTGAAAGCTGTCTTCGCCATGAAAAATATGAGCCCGAACTGTGTCGCCAACTCTCAAAGACCACATCAGAGGTTTGTACGAGTTTGATAACTTTCAAGTGAATATTAGCATTTGTATGTTAAAATCCTATTGCCAATATGTAGTCTTTGTACATGCAGAATTCAATTTTCCTTTCTGTCCTCTGGTGGTAACTCAATTTTATTAGAAAAAAAATCTAAACATTCCTTTCATAAAAACTCATTGACCCCTGAAGACACATCTGAACTCTTCCAATTCAAAGGTTGGAATAGTTCATTATGAAACTTCAGGGGTGAATGAGTTAATGTGCAGCAACATAACGAGGTAAAAATGAAACATTTCACATAAATACTGTATAAATTCAACACAACTTACTGTGAAGCTCTTGTGAATTGCCTATTACTTCATGGTCCCATTTCATATCAAGAGAGAAATATATCTGTCACATGTAGCACAGATTAAACTTATGACAGTACATCAGATCACTTGCAGATGGTTTGAGCACTTGTTACTGATGTGCTTTTTGACCAGGCATTCACTCATCTTTTCAAACAGTTCAATGACCCTATCTGAGTATCATTATTGTTTTAAAATCATGACCAACAAATATCAGGTGGAAACAAAAACATGATAATAACCGAAACATGATATTAAGTGAAACTGTACTAGTGCAGTAAAAACCCTCTTAGGGGAAATGCAACTGAGTACCTGTCATACAGAGCTATAATACATTGCAACAACATAAAAGTCTAACTAATGAGCCACAAAACCTGAACACCTTGGCTGAGGAAGGAACTCGTAGCATCATCACGTAAGAACTGGAGAAGATTTAAATACTTAAACATAAACTTTGATTGTTTTCAGATCATTAAGACGCGGGTGAGAGAAATGAACATACCACGCTTTAAGATCATCTGTCTAGTCCACATAGGACAGCTCAACAACCAAGGTCTCCGGATCGGCAGTCGGTGCTTGTGGGATTCAACATGTGATACGTTTTCCTCCTACGAATTCCGTAACAATAAGTTATTTGCCATAGGGTCAGTTTATGGGGTATATTTTGAGTGAGTTGGATCATTTTTTTTTTTTTGGGGGGTGTTCATGTTCAACTCAGTTATATCACTATAAGATATTTTGCAATTTTGGCAATCAGGTTGAATATAGACACCCACAACAAGATATTTAAAGATGGAGGAAAAAAATGGATGATATTTAGATTTTGTTTTTATATCAAACTAATTTTGAAATGACTTTTTGGTTCAAGAACAAGTTTGATAGATGTGAATGCAAAAGCAAACAAAAAAAGAATATTTTTGCATAAGAAATTGATTTTGATGAATTAATAAGGTTGTATACATTAGCAATAAATTTCTCCTGATTGAATATGGGAGTAAGGTATGGTCCCACTTTTCATCAAAACATCCATGATTGTGCAATAGTGTTTTGCTGAATTTCATGGACACTTGTTTTGACCATGAAGATACACTATTCTTTATGTATGAATGTGAATGTATTGTGGTGATGGAATTTTACAAGTTCACCAATATTTCTATCTAGGTAAAAGTCTGAGTAGGTAAAAGTCCTGCTTTATCCATATTGGCAGGAAACTGTTTTGGCAATGCTTCACATGTATTTGAAAAAATTAGAAGAATTATGGATAATTCTCAAGTATCAAAGAAATTGTCAATATACACGTATACCAATAGTTAAATCAAATTAAAAATCAGGAATAATTAAAGAAATTTTGCACTCATACTGATACAATGTTATCTGGTCATTTTTAATTCATAAAAAGTAAATCATGTTATTTCAATATTGTTTGAAATACTATAAATAAGTGAAAGCTCATCTTTACAATGATTGCTACACAAACAATAGAGCTCGGAAAGCTAACTGTTTGGATTACAAAGATTTCCCCTGCCCCCAGAGCTGACACACTACCAGTTAGCCTGTAATGTACATACTTTATATAATCTAACTTAGACAGGTTTTACTGTTAATACAAGCTTACCTGTACAAAGGTAGATCCTGTACCATATTCCAACTAATAAGGGCCCTTGATAATCAGCAATTTACAAAAAAATACAACCATTGCAAAACCTGACAAAGTCATAAAAATAGTTTTTTTTTCAAACCAGAAAAAGCATATATGTTTGTAATTATAAATAGAATTGGTCTTTTAAAGAAAGACAACTGCTAATTTATTTCTGATTTATAAAATAAGTGCTATATTTATTTTAATATACAAGATTGGTCAGGTAGATCTATGTTGGTGTTTCTGTAAAATTATACATGCCATGTATATACTAGTGTGATAGTCACACTGTATGTGTGTCTGCATTCTCGCACAAAACCTCACTCCATCGTTTGAGGAGGAATTGATGTCTTGAGTCAGAATCAAGAAGTACCTGTATGGCTGTAATTTATGATTTTTTGATGATTCAAAACGTGTTCACTATCCGTAGATATTTTTGTCAATTTTGACTCCATTGTGGGGTACGGTTTTCTATCTTATGTATTCCCTCCGTTATATACTGCTATTTATTCACTGCTTATTTCAATGTTTCTAGTTTTACACATTTAGATGTCTTTTTTGGACAAATATGTTACATACTATTTTAGAAATAGATTTTTTTTCTTGAGAACTGAAACAGATTGTAAAAAAGTCCTCCTGATTTTTTTATTATTTTTTTGTAGGTAATTTTTTTTCACATTTTTCTATTTCTGTGTTTTCCTTGTTTATGTTTACTTTCATATTTCTGTGTATGAACATTAATATGATCATGTATTAATTAAGAAATGAGATCTGTTTACTTTCAAAATAAATGATGTTAAATGCTGTAAGGACATACAGTACAGTGGAGTCATGCCAGTCTCACAAGGTCCTTTCACAGATAACTGGTCACCATTTTGGTATCTATTTGTGCAAATTTGAGAAATGAAAAAGGATTTTTCTGTTTTAGTACCGTTTCATTCTTGAATTTAGCTGAAAACTTGCTTATACTAAAACATGTTTCTTACATGTGAAATTCATGTAAAACCTTAACATAAGCATTTAGAAGTTGATTTTCTTGTTTATCCCAGCGTGACGATTAACAAGGTTCCACTGTACATGCAGAGTACGAGACGTTTTTCTTTACTGGTGACGGTATTCTATCTAGTATAACAGTATTAAGGTTTACATGAACTTGTGGTTTTCTGATCTTTGTATTCTATACATCTTTTGCTCCTTGATACAATCAATCTAATCAAAATAGGTTTATTCCCTATGTTATTTAAGTGCCTCTTGGTAATATATATACACTGTACATATTGCGGTCGAAATGGTTTGTTCAAAGGGTTTTTTAAGTCTTCTATCTTTCATCTATGCATCATTAATGTTACATGTTTTTCCGTTCGTTTTAGATTTTGTCAGTCAAACTTGAAATAATTCACTTCGTTTCGGGTATTTATGATATACAGTTTATGGTATATTTTCCGTCGAGATGCCATTTCATATTTGTTCCATTTAAAAATGTAAAATATTATAAATTGTCAATGAAAACCCTCTTTGATCAATATGGTATTTGATGGTTGGCCTGTCTAAATTATTTCTGCATGCCGTTTTCTCCCTCCTTATTGTTAAATTATTAACTGGAAGTATTCCTTTACATTTGTATTTATCTGTAATCTGTTTCTGTGATAGCACTGTCAAGTGTACCATACATTCCTGTACCAAATGTCCATTGTGTATGATTAAGGGTTGGAGAGCATTTTCTAACTTATTTATATGATATGAAGCTGTTTTGAAATATACTTTTTTCTATAATATATATACAATATATGTACATTTTATTATACTGATATTTTAAGTTATCCACTTGCACAATCAATTAGAAACATGTTCATGAATTTTAATTTAATAAGATGATATAATTGTGTTATTGGTGACAGTTTAAAACAAACTATACTATCTATTCTAAAATTTATCGATGATGGTCAGGGTTAGATCACAATCATTGACGAACATTTTCTTGTCTCTGACTGGCCAATAGTAATATTAATACAGTTGTACCTGTATTTCCTTAAAGTTTAACCAGGTGTGAACAGAACGCCTTCACCAAATAAAATGTCACTCAAACTGTGTGCTCTTACAACGAATGTTACTCAACGAAAGTGACTGGGACGTAGCTAAGTGTCCAAAGAATTACTGTCTCGAACATTAGTCATCAAATCTGATTTCAAAGGATGATCTTTTCTGCATAAACATCCAAGAAAGGTACTTTTTTTGAGCTATTTCTGTAACTTTCCAGCGTTATTATTTCTAGAATTATTTGCTGATTATGAAGTTATGTTGCACAGTTTTCGAGTGCTGGTTGGGAGGACACATTAGTGTTGGGTGGAGTGGGTAGGAGTGGTAGATTTTGTCCTATGTACTCCCACCAAGATCCTTTCTCTTGCTTATAGACAGAGAACACAGTTTAATAAATGACAAATTACCAAATAATTTTTGTCTGTGATTTGTTGTTTATTGATTTTGAAGTGACCATGTTTGTTGACAAAAAGTTCCAGCATTATCCTATGTCGGGGGTTGGAGGTTATACAGACCTGATCCACAGCCGACACATCCTTTGTTGTGGATCATAAGGGTTGAACTCCCACCCCAACACTTCAAAAGGTTATTTCTCAGAAACCTCAAGAGACTTTTACAAAACCAAAATGGCTACTGGGGGGCCATGATTTTCAGAGAAGGTGCATAACTGCACTGAGTGACTAATTGATATATTTACATATAGATATGTGTAGAAAGTTTCATAAAAACCAAAGCATTCCTTCAGAAGTTATCGCACGGAAACCATTGGTGCAGGCGCTAACAGAGTGACCCCTGGATTTTACATTTGCTTCATAGGCAACACAAAACAGTACCAATGCTGATCTATGTCCATCATTTATTAGCCATGTGTTGTACATTGTATATCACAGATTAAACATAAAGCAAATAGTAAAATCAGGTACCTGTCATACACTTCTACATTGTAAGTCTATAAACGTCTCACGACTTACATATGTGGCTACATCTCCAGATACATCAAAGCCATACACTTCTACATTGTAAGTCTATCAACGTCTCACAACTTACATGTGTCGCTACATCTCCGGATACATCAAAGCCATACACTTCTACATTGTAAGTCGATAAACGTCTCACAACTTACATGTGTGGCTACATCTCCAGATAGATCAAAGCCATACACTTCTACATTGTAAGTCGATAAACGTCTCACAACTTACATGTGTGGCTACATCTCCAGATAGATCAAAGCCATACACTTCTACATTGTAAGTCGATAAACGTCTCACAACTTACATGTGTGGCTACATCTCCAGATAGATCAAAGCCATACACTTCTACATTGTAAGTCTCTAAACGTCTCACGACTTACATGTGTGGCTATATCTCCAGATACATCAAAGCCATACACTTCTATATTGTAAGTCTATAAAGGTCTCACGACTTACATGTGTGGCTACATCTCTGGATACATCAAAGCCATACACTTCTACATTGTAAGTCGATAAACGTCTCACAACTTACATGTGTGGCTACATCTCCAGATACATCAAAGCCATCCACTTCTACATTGTAAGTCTATAAACGTATCAGGACTTACATGTGTGGCTACATCTCCAGATACATCAAAGCCATCCACTTCTACATTGTAAGTCTATAAACGTCTCAGGACTTACATGTGTGGCTACATCTCCAGATACATCAAAGCCATACGCTTCTACATTGTAAGTCTATCAACGTCTCACAACTTACATGTGTCGCTACATCTCCGGGGACATCAAAGCCATACACTTCTACATTGTAAGTCTATAAAAGTCTCACAACTTACATGTGTGGCTACATCTCCAGATAGATCAAAGCCATACACTTCTACATTGTAAGGCTATAAACGTCTCACGACTTACATGTGGGGCTAGATCTCCAGATAGATCAAAGCCATACACTTCTACATTGTAAGGCTATAAACGTCTCACGACTTACATGTGTGCCTACATCTCCAGATACATCAAAGCCATACACTTCTATATCGTAAGTCTATAAACGTCTCACGACTTACATATGTGGCTACATCTCCAGATAGATCAAAGCCATACACTTCTACATTGTAAGGCTATAAACGTCTCACGACTTACATGTGGGGCTAGATCTCCAGATAGATCAAAGCCATACACTTCTACATTGTAAGGCTATAAACGTCTCACGACTTACATGTGTGGCTACATCTTCGGATACATCAAAGCCATACACTTCTACATTGTAAGTCTCTAAACGTCTCACGACTTACATGTGTGGCTACATCTCCAGATACATCAAAACCCTAAATGTGTAGGAGAAAGCTAGTAGATCACTCACACTACAAGTAGCATACCATCGGTACATTGTTTTTGAGATCTTTTTTAACTTTCAATGAACATGTATAGCTATTACCAGTTATCACAAAACTCTTTATATATCTCTTCCTTTATTTCAGTATTTATAATGACACATGTAACTGATTCTGACATTATAAACTTGCACAACTTATTGGCTGAATCATTCCTGTTCAATTCATGATTGTTTGCAAATATTTCTTCCGAGGATAAATGTGTATCTTCATCCACAAACTCAATAACTTGTTCATACCAATCTTGGATCATTAAAAACAAAAGGATTTCTAAACTTGGAAATATTTTCCAAAACAAACAATTTCATAAAAAACAAAGTGGACCTCCTGACCAAGTTTGTTTGTGTTGGCGACATCTGTTGCACAGGTAAGACATCAATACTTTTATAATTTAAGGGCCGTAATCCATGAAACATTCCTACAGATCTAGCAGGAAATATTTGTCTTGTGTGCGTTTTGAATGGAGGGTGAAAACATTCATTTAATCAAACATGGTGTTGACATGAATATTGAAGCCTTAGTAAACAATCTAAGCACGTTTAAACGTAGTGTAATGTACGTGTGAGGAAGTGAAAGAAAGGGGCGCCACATTTGTTGTTGTTTTGTTGAGGAGGAATTTTCTAAAGTGATATTTTTCGCTACCTTTTCCAGAAAGCAGGAAGACAATAAAAGGTTACAAATATTTTTTTAACAAATGAAATAAGAAGTAGTATCATACTACACAGGTTTACCAAGTTTATGTACCAGGTAGCTGTCAAAATATACACAGCATGTAGTTATACAAGGACAATCTACACATTACTCTATCTTACGACAATATTGACTGCAAATTGTGTTCCATACTGTACAACTGAAGCAGATCATACTGTACTACTGAAGCAGATCATACTGTACGACTGAAGCAGATCATACTGTACTACTGAAGCAGAGCGTACTGTACTACTAGTACTGAAGCAGATCGTACTGTATTACTGAAGCAGATCATACTGTACTACTGAAGCAGAGCGTACTGTACTACTAGTACTGAAGCAGATCGTACTGTATTACTGAAGCAGATCATACTGTACTACTGAAGCAGAGCGTACTGTACTACTAGTACTGAAGCAGATCGTACTGTATTACTGAAGCAGATCATACTGTACTACTGAAGCAGATCGTACGGTACTACTGAAGCAGATCGTACTGCACTACTGAAGCAGATCGGACTGTACTACTGAAGCAGATCGTACTGTACTACAGAAGCAGATCATACTGTACTACTGAAGCAGATCCTATTGTACTACTGAAGCAGATCCTACTGTACTACTGAGGCAGATCATACTGTACTACTGAAGCAGATCATACTGTACGACTGAAGCAGATCATACTGTACTACTGAAGCAGAGCGTACTGTACTACTAGTACTGAAGCAGATCGTACTGTACGACTGAAGCAGATCATACTGTACTACTGAGGCAGATCATACTGTACTACTGAGGCAGATCATACTTCACTACTGAAGCAGATCATACTGTACTACTGAGGCAGATCATACTGTACTACTGAGGCAGATCATACTGCACTACTGAAGCAGATCGTACTGCACTACTGAAGCAGATCGTACTGTACTACTGAAGCAGATCATACTGTACTCCTGAAGCAGATCGTACTGTACTACTCAAGCAGATCGTACTGCACTACTGAAGCAGATCGGACTGTACTACTGAAGCAGATCGTACTGTACTACTGAAGCACATCGTACTGTACTACTGAAGCAGATCGTACTGCACTACTGAAGCAGGTCGTACTGCACTACTGAAGCAGATCGTACTGTACTACTAGTACTGAAGCAGATCATACTGTACTACTGAAGCATATCATACTGTACTACTGAAGCAGATCATACTGTACCACTGAAGCAGATCATACTGTACTACTGAAGCAGATCTTACTGTACTACTGAAGCAGATCATACTGTACTACGGAGGCAGATCATACTGTACTACTGAAGCAGATCGTACGGTACTACTGAAGCAGATCGTACTGCACTACTGAAGCAGGTCGTACTGCACTACTGAAGCAGATCGTACTGTACTACTAGTACGGAAGCAGATCGTACTGTACTACTGAAGCAGATCTTACTGTACTACTGAAGCAGATCATACTGTACTACTGAAGTAGATCGTACTGTACTACTGAAGCAGATCATACTGTACTACTGAGGCAGATCATACTTCACTACTGAAGCAGATCATACTGTACTACTGAGGCAGATCATACTTCACTACTGAAGCAGATCATACTGTACTACTGAGGCAGATCATACTTCACTACTGAAGCAGATCATACTGTACTACTGAGGCAGATCATACTGCACTACTGAAGCAGATCGTACTGCACTACTGAAGCAGGTCGTACTGCACTACTGAAGCAGATCGTACTGTACTACTGAAGCACATCGTACTGTACTACTGAAGCAGATCGTACTGCACTACTGAAGCAGATCATACTGTACTACTGAGGCAGATCATACTGCACTACTGAAGCAGATCATACTCTACTACTGAGGCAGATCATACTGCACTACTGAAGCAGATCATACTGTACTACTGAAGCAGATCGTACTGTACTACTAGTACTGAAGCAGATCGTACTGTACTACTGAAGCAGATCATACTGTACTACTGAAGCAGATCAAACTGCTGTCACAGTAATTTAGCAACGTTTCCTCTGATAGGGACTTTTTAACTGTAATCAATAAACATGCATTTTTGAACATTTAATAAGAATCCATGTTGAAAACCACACCCCCTCCTGAATGTCCCAACACAACACTCGACAACAGCCGCACAAAACTGTTAAGAGAGTAGGCCTAGTGGGGATGTTTTAGGTGCATATTCATGAATGATGTCAAACTCAGGACAATCTTGAGGTGCCAGAAATAGTGCATATAAAATAACATCGCTTACTACAACAGATCATATACAATTAGAATGCATATGTGGTAGTCTGGCCATGTGTGGTAGTCTGGCCATGTGTAGTTGTCTGCCCATGTGTGGTAGTCTGGCCATGTGTGGTAGTCTGGCCATGTGTGGTAGTCTGGCCATGTGTGGTAGTCTGGCCATGTGTGGTAGTCTGGCCATGTGTGGTAGTCTGGCCATGTGTGGTAGTCTGGCCATGTGTGGTAGTCTGGCCATGTGTGGTAGTCTGGCCATGTGTGGTAGTCTGGCCATGTGTGGTAGTCTGGCCATGTGTGGTAGTCTGGCCATGTGTGGTAGTCTGGCCATGTGTGGTAGTCTGGCCATGTGTGGTAGTCTGGCCATGTGTGGTAGTCTGGCCATGTGTGGTAGTCTGGCCATGTGTGGTAGTCTGGCCATGTGTGGTAGTCTGGCCATGTGTGGTAGTCTGGCCATGTGTGGTAGTCTGGCCATGTGTGGTAGTCTGGCCATGTGTGGTAGTCTGGCCATGTGTGGTAGTCTGCCCATGTGTGGTAGTCTTGCCATGTGTGGTAGTCTGGCCATGTGTGGTAGTCTGCCTATGTGTGGTAGTCGGCCATGTGTGGTTGTCTGCCCATGTGTGGTAGTCTGGCCATGTGTGGTTGTCTGCCCATGTGTGGTAGTCTGGCCATGTGTGGTAGTCTGGTCATGTGTGGTTGTCTGGCCATGTGTGGTAGTCTGGCCATGTGTGGTAGTCTAGCCATGTGTGGTAGTCTGCCAATGTGTGGTTGTCTGTCTGCCCATGTGTGGTAGTCTGCCCATTTTTACACACTTCCTGCTACTTCTACTAACCGGATTGAACCAAACACAAGAATGAGATGGGATCTTTCTCGCAAGTCATCACTTTAATACATCTAAGAACAAGAAATTTGTCATACAGTTTCTGCTTTCGTATCAAAACATGAACAAATATACTTAATACCTAGTACAGTACATTAAAAAAATAATTCATTAAACTATAAGTTAGCTAATTATCCTGGCTTTATTCTTGCTTAGCTAAACGAACAATGCAACAGAAAACTACCTGGAATGTTGGTAACAATGATGGGGGTTGATACTTTGTGGTTATATATAGGGTGGCTTCTTTGCTTTCTATGATAGCTTTAATATTTGTACATTATATATACACAAGATGATTCAACACATTCACAGTAATTTGTTGATGAATTTACAAATATGTCAAGTGTGTAAAATGAAATACAAAATGTACATATAATTATATATACAATAAATAAATAAATAAATCATAGTAAAATTAAGACTCACTCTCCCACAAGAACATATCTGCTTAACAACAGAAGACGACTTTCCTGTATTAGTTAACACAATTTGAGTGATTAGATTTAACCAGTAAAAATTAGTTATATAGGGGTTAATCAGAGATGATTGGTCATTGTTTTTGTCTAGCTCCAAGTAATTTTTAAAAAGTTACAAATAAGCAAAATGTTTACCTAGACGCGACTGCAACTTTACAAAATTATCCGACGACAGCGAGATACTGTAAACCTATTTAGCGGTTTTCTAATTTGAACGCTCATGCCACTAAATCATGGTCAAGCTAAAGAGGATGAGTATATACTAAAGAGGATGTGTATATACTAAAGAGGATGTGTATATACTAAGAGAATGTGTATATACCAAAGAGGATGTGTATATACTAAAGAGGATGTGTTTATACTAAGAGGATGTGTATATACTAAAGAGGATGTGTATATACTAAAGAGGATGTGTATATACTAAAGAGGATGTGTATATACTAAAGAGGATGTGTATATACTAAAGAGGATGTGTATATACTAAAGAGGATGTGTATATACTAAAGAGGATGTGTATATACTAAAGAGGATGTGTATATACTAAAGAGGATGTGTATATACTAAAGAGGATGTGTATATACTAAAGAGGATGTGTATATACTAAAGAGGATGTGTATATACTAAAGAGGATGTGTATATACTAAAGAGGATGTGTATATACTAAAAAGGATGTGTATATACTAAAGAGGATGTGTATATACTAAAGAGGATGTGTATATACTAAAGAGGATGTGTATATACTAAAGAGGATGTGTATATACTAAAGAGGATGTGTATATACTAAAGAGGATGTGTATATACTAAAGAGGATGTGTATATACTAAAGAGGATGTGTATATACTAAAGAGGATGTGTATATACTAAGGAGGATGTGTATATACTAAGAGGATGTGTATATACTAAAGAGGATGTGTATATACTAAAAAGGATGTGTATATATTTTTCTATTGCACATTGTTTGAGTGTGCTGATTCATTAATGCACTTGTCAGTTCAAATTCAATAAAATGCCAAAACTTGAGTGTTAAAATAAGTACTTTTACTGTTTGATTTATACCTCATTTCTTCAAAATAAAAAAATAAACATTTTATTGCTTTCCCCGTCTCATTGCTAGGTAATCAAATATTCGATCATTTGGACCGATTTGTAAAACAATTTTCATTTTCCTCAAGGATATATTTTATCAACTGAAAAAAAAATCACAATATAAGATGGTTATAAGATGGATATAAGACACCCAATCAATCTTATACTTAATGCATCATTTATGAGTGACAAGATACAAGAATCATAGGATAGATTCAGTTCCAAACTTTAAACTGATTCAGTTTCCAACTATAAACTATGACAAGTAGAGAAACCATATTTGAATAAAGTACCATAATTTCATGTGTATGTCCCTCAGACTATAACACTTTTACTTCTAAAAATGCCTTTAGCTGGCTTTCTGGTTCTGTTTTGTCAGGCACAATATAAGCTAGTTGGGTGGGTCAGAGTGCCATCTCCAGTGGTACACCTGGGTATCTAGTATCTAGACCATACAGTGATCAGTGCATCTGTACATACATAACTGCTCTTCATTACACGAGTCGTTCTTAGTGTAAAACCTGTTGGCAATCAACCGGAGTAGACTAACTGGTAATACTTTTATAAAATACTAAATATTACCTCCTTTGATGCAGGCAGTGTGCAGAAAATTCAAGTACCATAAAATCTTGACAACGGAAAACTAGTAAGAACATGTATATTTGATTTGCTTACACTTGGACAAAGTGGTAAGGTAATGCCACCTAACCTGGTACTGACAGCAGTGATATTTGAGACACAGATATCAGGGGTCCTTGACTCGGGCCGTTCCTTTGGGACTCGCCTACATTATCTAAACAAACTATATTCCGCAGTGTAATGGGACTAGTCAACATTTTGAAAATAATGTTGTTGACTCGCCTGATAAAAATCTGACAAAAATCACTGCTGTCTCCAGATGAAAATCTTAACATTTGGGGGAACTTTAAAATTTATAGACTTAAACAATTTCTCTATTTGACACCACAATAACGTACTTTTAAATCTCTCATCAACTATTAAAACGAACAACACCATTCTTTGATATATGTATCAACATGTTTCCATACAAATTTCTCTCATTACTTTATACCACAGATTATCTAAGTTTAAAAACATTTTGAACACAAAATCTGGGTATAGCATGTGTTTCAACAAAAATTGCACAAATCCACTAATACTGTCTACATGGGCGTGGCCCTTTACATAATACCAAGCAACTTTGATGCAAACTTTCTGCATCAAACAATATATTTGCGTTATGAATTACATGATTTTATATTATTTTTGAACCTCTTTAGCCCGGGCACTTTCATCTTTGCTAAACTGTTCCGGAATTACAAATGCATTTATCAATATTTGGAAAAAGTTCTGTGAAACATTCATGTCAGGATATAGTCTTATTTAGTTTTAATCTGTTTTCGTGCAGTGTTATTTTTTCCCTTTACATATTATTTCTTTGTGTGGTATGTTGTTTGCTAATTTTCACCGTCGTGATAAATTCGCCCTCATTATGGAGGGTATAAAAGGCAATGTTAAACTGCTGAGAAATTTTCCCAATACACAGTATACAGAACTAAGTGTACGACTTTGGAATCCCTTTCCTGTCCAGATTAAAGAGGACCAACTGCATGTAAATGAGATCAATTGATAACCAGTTAACTTTGTTATATTGCCGCCCACAAGGGTAAAACTTAGTAAGTTCTGTATCATTCAACTCAAAAATACTTACAAACTGTACAGTCACATGCTCATTTTGCTTATAACTATTCCCTAAAATAAAAGCAAGGAAAAATGGGGCATCTCTTAATCACATACCATCAATGTATAAATTAACAAAATAGGTTACACACTTACATATACATCTTAAGTCTACATGTATTTGGCAAATGATGATAAACAGTGTACTACGTGATTGGTGTCCTACAATGTATGTGAGACAGTTAATGTTACAAACATCTCCAATGTTTTAAACCGATACAGAGAAACAGTTAGCATGTCACATTAATAACTGTTATAAGGATGTTCTGGAATTTAAATTGCAAGGCCTTTTATCACAGCAAAGGCCTGCTTTTTTCCTGGTCTTCAGATGGAATTACTAACCCTATTAGCGTCAAAAAGAGGCGGTCAATGTGACGTCCTTAAGGTTGTCATTTACATTCAGTGAGATCTTGAATGCACAAAACACATTAATGGGACAACACTGAACATATATATTGATGAGTGTTTTATCATAACTAGGAGTCCTTCATTTCAAGTTCTCGTCTGCATCACATGCTTACAATTCATAATAAATCAAGTGTCACCCATGAGGTACACTCTTATTTTTTGATTTACTGATAGTCCCTTTGAACCATTGTTTTTTTTTCTATTTCGATATATTTCATCACAATAAGACATGTAAAAACATAAATTGTTGTAGCTGTGTACATTATAATCAGCTGTGCAACAAAACCTACAATTATACGAACGTGAACAGCCTACTTGTGTGATATCAAAACACACTTTGTAAAGAAGTGAGACAACATTGGTCAAGATAGTTATTTATAAACATAAACTTTCTATGCACACAGCAGAAACACAAAACATATGGCAGTTATCTCCCTTTAGGTATGTGTTATTCATCGTTTTCGTACATGTCAAACACATGGCAGTAATCTCCCTTTTGGTAGGTGTTATTCATCGTTTCCGTACATACATTTACCAACAACCTGTCTAAAAGTCAAATATAGGGTCAGTGCATCTACAGAGCCTTCATTAACACTCTTTTGATAAACAGCAGATGTTTCCCGTTAACCATCATAATTTGAAACAAATAACTGTGATATAATTATAAAAAAAAATCAATATTGAACTGATGTACATTTCATCTCACAACCGTTCCCATATACTTCAAGCATCATGAGTATTTCTCAAATAATTTTTTTAAATAATGCAATTAAAATGTAAATAAATGACAAATACAGAACACACAATAATCCCTATCAACATCAGTACTTTTCCTTCACTAAAATGAAGTCAGAAATTGAGAATGTTTATTATGGTTTATTCCATTGCTCAGAATAAATTGTAGACAGTGGCTATATAGCAGGAGGCTCGCCTCTTATATTTCATATATTTCAATTTTACATGCTTCAAATTTCCAAACAATATTTTTATTTAAAAATTTCAAAGTTGCTGACAATATCTGAATGACTGGATGTATCACTTCCTTACTATAATATGAAACAGTAAATGTTTACTTTCATCCTGGAAAATTCATGGAAATATTTCAAATATATACAAATGTAGTATTGTTGTTTTAAAAAGTGGTCAAGCAACTTCAGCATGTGGCAATTATGTATTATAGACCAATGGGGACAATTTGGTTTTGCAATAAAATGTCTTGTATACAATGCATGCCTCTGATTACAACAGTATAACAGCTATGAAAAATTATAACAAAATTCTGAGAATGGAGTGCTTGACGATTACGGTAGCTTTAGTATTGATGGAGCAGTGAACACAACCATACTCAGGAGTAATGTAGACAAGGATACAAAGCTCAAACAAACGATAACAAACTGTTTTAGATCCATGTATGGTGTTGACTATCATACTTACAAAGGTAATAGAGTACTGATCGATTCAATCCAAATATTTTTCCAGCATTAAATTCACTTATTTGATAATATTTTCAGAAGTATGACGTTTCTGTTTTAAATCAAAGCGCTTTGTATATAAACTGTTTGTTCGTTGCCAATTTCTTTCATAAAAACAGTTAAACTTCGCCAAGTGATGATGTTTTAGTAAATCCATGAATACAAGGCATAGATGGTACATACAAATGTATACATCATTCTCAATGAAATATTGAAACCAAAACTGCTGCTTAATAATAGAGTAACAACTGCATTGAATGTGTGTGACGTATGATAAATTGAAGTTGGACAAAACAATATAACTGCACAGCAGGAAATATTATCATAGACACTTGTCAGGTGTGACAATGTTTCCTAAAAATATTGGGTCAAAAGACAACCCACATATACATCACTGAAGCTTTGGTCTGCATGTGTACGACCCTCACGCTACACACTTGTTATAGTACACACTTGTTATAGTACACACTTGTTATAGTACACCATTGTTAGGAGATACACTGTAACATCTTTCCAGTACTTTCTGGTTAGTTCTGGTCCTAACCATTGTAAAACATACAGCTATTGGTTGCTATAGTTATATCCTGACACAGAGGGTAGGCAACTGTACTAATGTCATCAATCTGTTTCTTCCTTGTTCTCTTCATTTTTCTCAATTTCTTCACATGTATCAGTGTTTGATTTCTCCCTGGGAGCAAACAAATTCTTTTCCTGAATTGCACAGATAGCTTCTTCCCAACAGGATAGCGACTGAAATTAAACATTTGCAAAATTCATGAAATTTAACACAGTAAAAACTGTCTAATCCAACATATTTTTTTAGGCAGATTTCAAATAAGATGTGTATAATCTGACACACTGTCTAATATGACAAACACTTCACTGTTTCCCACAGGGTGTTGTATTAGAAAGGTGTTATTTTAAGTCCTTTCATAACCGATGAATTCTTTTTCTAAGCAGTGATCAATACAGTCTATCAAGTTTTGACCGAGACAGGACACAGCTTGATCATACGTAGTAAACACTTCAAATTCCCATCAATAAAATATATCCATTAAACTGAACATTGTTTTCTTTATAGAGGATGCAAAAATATCAACACATGCAGACATAACTTGAAGTAACTAATAAGCACTTTGAGTCTTTAAAATGTAATTTTTAATGTGCCGTTTTCCTTAATCAACACAGAGCGTAGGTGCTCTTTATCTAAAATGACTTGAAGATAACCTATAATGTACACTGTCGAGGTTGATCTGGTATACGTACCCTTTCATAGTATGCTATTTGCCTGTCTGCTAGGTTGATGAAGAGTTCCTTGAGATCGCGCTGCTTGTTCTTGTGCCACCGTTCCATGTCCACCCTAAGGTCTGCGTCGGCACAAGCTGTTTTATCATTTAATGATTCCATCTGCTTAGTGAGCTGAAATGATGAGTAAAAACAAAATATTTAAAGGAGAAGGGGGGAAAAAATCATGAAATTAATACAGATATTTTATCATCTTCAATAAAGTTATAAGCAAAGAAGCAATCAAAATCAGGAAAATTCAGAACATGAACAGAGACGAGGGGGACACCAGCTGAGTCATCTGTATGACCCGATACTGACATGACAGGGGAAGGGGCTATATCTACACCCTACCTCTAACCTATCTGATGCAGTGTGTATATGCTCCCCATCGATAAGCGAAACGTCTCAGGTCGAGTGCCATAAAAAATATACAATTTCGTCACATCGTGGTACAGGTAAAAAATACAAATCGCTCACTCACGCAAAAATCAAACTTTTGCCTGACAAACTGTGCCAGTATAACCAAATTTTACAACAAAATATTGTCGGTAAAACATTCAATGTATAAAACTTACATCTCCAATTTGTTGTTCTAATTTATCCTGTTTTTGCTGTTTCACATCTTCAGGATCCTTTCCCAGGAAAGCCCCAATGGAATAGGTTTGGTCCGATATCTTTACCTGAAAAACAGTTATAAAACACAATACATAGCCGACACCTTTATTTGAGACATAATAACAGAGTTACTTTAAACCTTAATGAACTGTAAAGTACTAGTGCAGGTGTCTAAATTGTTCAAAATTAAAAAAACAAAAAACATACCAGCCAAAACTATCTTTAGAACATGCAATCACAGGAAATCATACAGTACCTCTGATGTATAATGGAATGTTTTCTAAATGAGGGCATGTTTTTATCGTTTATTGCATTCGTTTTATGTCCCAACAATATGAATGCATAAATATAGTTTTATCAATAATAAAAAATGTTATTACCATTGATATTATAACCTTTTTTTTCTTTTTTTTATCAATTTGATACCGACAGCTACATTATACCCACTTGTTCTCGGTCATCCTTTTTCTTGCTCAGCTCTTCTATTGTCATATCATATTCCATCTGGATCGCGTCTCTACGTCGTAAAACAGCCTGTACAGAGAGAAAATATTATACATATATATCACACGTTTCTGCAGCACCATCCCAACATGTCTATATGAATCAGTCACATATTAGCCAAGAGCAATTATCTTCAATTTCAATACATATGCATGAAATATTTAGTTCTTAAACATCATCTCATCTCATCTCATCTCATCTCATCTAATCTCATCTCATCTCATCTCATCCAAAGTGGTTTCCTTCGATTGCTTCGATTTAGAATCTGTTTCTGTGAAAGCATTCTTGGACAAAAACATTGAAATCCATCTTTATGGATAATTTTACAAATAACCCTATAATTCTGTTATGAAATTGTTAAGTAGAACTTGGTAAAAGTAGACATCGTTTCCAATAACATTCCAGATTCAAGAAACACGATGAGTCAGTTCCAAGAACTCTTTTGTCCTACGGAACATCTACAATACACATTTTGAGAAAATGACTTACCCTAATGGCATCACAGTAAAGTGTGTACTCTTTCAGAGGCTGGGAGAAGTTTGCTTCTGTCTGCTCAATCTGTCAAACAGTGTGAATAATAACATGAAGTAATGCACAGCAAATATTTTGCAAAAGATATTTGTGACTTTTTATTGAAGAAAAAATAAAAATTTAGAAACAAAAGATACAATGTACATTATAGATTTAACATAAGATTTTTTTCCAGTCTTGTTTTGTCTAAAATGATATCATGATATCACACAAGTTTCTGTACACACAGTGTCCTTCAGAGCATCACCGCTGGCATCGACGGCCTTAGACATGGCCAGTAGGGAGGTGGTGAGGTTGTCCTCAGAGTTCGCCCATAGCGTATAGATGGGTCCCCAATCCTTCATCTCCAACAAATATTCTGAAACCACAAAATTTGTCCATCAAAATCTCCAACAAATACTCTGAAACCACAAAATCTGTCCATCAAAATCTCCAACAAATACTCTGAAACCACAAAATACTTCTATCAAAATCTCTAGAAATGTTTGTTATCATTATTTAATAACAAATCAACCATTTTTTAAAAGTACTATGACCATGAACACTATCACACTAACACAAACTACTGAAATAGTTAATCCTCTAGCTAGACTTGATAACACCTCTAGCGTAATGACTGGTATGGTAGACAAAAAAAAAAAAAAATCCATTTTTGGCTCTCAATAATTTTTGGTAAGTACCTCAGCAAAACTTCTTAGTTTGCAAAACTAATTTTAAAAAGGGACAGCATTGATGACTTTAACAGTGCTTGTTTTAATATCCAAAAATAAGAAAATGTTTAATGTTTGTAAAATATATATGCTACTTGAAATGGAGCTAAACAAGATGTCTAACCAAAGTCAGTGAAATGGAAAATATAGGTCACAGTGACCTACATTTGATGGTGTAGTATTCCTCTAGATGTACCCACATATTAAGTTACATAAACATGTTCTTTAATTGAAACAAGAGGCCCAATGGGCCTGCATCGCTCACCTGGTACTAATCTCACAATTGTAACCTTAAAAGAGGACTAAAATAAAGCTACAGGCAAAATATCAGCATCTTGACTTAAAGTTTAAAGTAATTCAGAAACAAGAGGCCCAATGGGCCTGCATCGCTCACCTGGTATTAATCTCACACTTGTAATCTTAAAAAGTGGACTAAAATACATCTACAGGCAAAATATCAGTGTTTGATTCCTAAGAACCTATTTAAAGATTTAAACATAATTTTTTATGACGCCTGTGACGTTGAATGTCGAACATGGACATTAGGTTGAACAGAGTTTATAGTCTTCCAACACAGCATGCATCTGGCAAAATATCATTACACTGGACCTTTTGGTTATATAGAACAAATCATTTAAAGATTTAAACATATATTGACCACTGTGACCTTGAATATGGGTGAAGGTCATTCACTTGGTAGTCCTTCATCCCAGCATGTTAATGGCCAAATATCATCACTCTTGGCCTTTTGCTTGTTAAGAAGAAGTCATTCAATGGTTTTAAACATATTTGACCCCTGTGACCTTGAATATATATGTCAAGGTCATTCATTTGAACAAACTTGG